AAAAAAAAAAAGACAGGAGAGAAGAAAGGAAATTTGGTTGCTAAATAAGCACAGAACTGCAATGTAGAGAAGCAAAATAAATTATAAAAAGTGTACTAGCTTTTCTCTTGCTTCCCTAACAAATTGTCACAGCCTTAGTGATTTAAAACAACACAAATTTATTGTTACAGTTATGTAGGTTAGAAGTCCAACACAGGCGGGGTACAGTGGCTCGTGCCTGTAATCCCAGCACTTTGGGAGGCTGATGCAGGAGAATGGCTTGAGCCCAGGAGTTCAAGACTAGTCTGGGCAATACAGTAAACCCCTATTTCTACAGAAAATTAAAAAATTAGCTGGGTGGGTGGCATGCGCCTGTAGTGCCAGCTACTCAGGAGGCTGAGGCAGGAGGATCGCTTGAGCCCAGAAGATTGGGGCTGTAGTGAGCTATGATTTTTGTCAGCACTTCAGCCTAGGTGACAGAGTGAGACCCTGTCTCAAAAACAAACAAACAAACAAATAGAAGTCCAACACACGGATATCTCTGGGATAAAGTCAAGGTGTTCCCAGGGCTCTCTGTTCCTTCCTGGAGGATCTACGGGATAATCTGTTTTCTGGCCTTTTCCAAATTCTAGGGGTCATCCACAGACCTTCCTCTGTCTTCACGGCCAGCAGTGGCGGATTGAGTTCTCCCATCACATAATTCTATTAGTCTCATCTTCTGCCTCTCTCTTTCACTTTTTAAGGACCTTTGTGATTATATTGCATCCACTGAGAATCAAGGATAATCTCCCTGTTTTAAGATCAGCTAATTAGCAACCTTAATTCTATCTCCAATCTCAAATCCATATCTCCATACAAATTAACATATTCACAGTTTCCAGGGATTAGGACAGCGGGGGTGGGGCTCATTATTCTGCCTATTTCAGGGGAATAGTGGCAAGGGTTGAAAAAAAGGAGGGAGGTAAAGACAGCATTTTCAAATGGAAGTGTTCGAGGTGTAACTTCAGGCCATCCTCACATTAATCTTTGTAGACACTAAAACCTCTGGATGTTTTTTGCATAGCTAAGCTAGAACCTATCCCACTTTGTACTTGTGCTATTTTATTTTTCAACTTGAATGTAGAAATTTTCATATATTTCTGTTAAATTTTATCTTTTAGGCTTTAGCTCAGAGTTCAAATTATTAAAATAATTTTGTTTTCTGGTTCTGTCTTCAGTCATATTTTCTATGCTATATAGTTTTTGTTTCACCTGTTGATTTGACCAGAATAATTTCTTCACCTATATAATTTATGAAAAGCATGTACAAAAATCAGGGTACAGTTATCCAACTAATTTTGAATTTACCTAATCATAATTAAATCAGGCCCCTATTTTAGTCTCATCCACAAAGATATGAAGGATTGGATTAAATGCTTTGTTGAAATTAATTTATATCATGGCTATAAAATTCCATCTTCTCTCAAAGATCAAATAAAGAAGTATAGTGTGACTTGTCTTATTTTAGTCAGTCTGGTTCCAATTGACCACCAAATTCTAACACATTTAAGTATGGACTCTGGAGTTTTACTCTTCTGTTCTAAAGTTTTCAACGTATACCTTTTTACCATTTTTTAAGCAGGTGATTTATCACCTTTTTCATTTTTTACAGTTTCTCAGAAATCAGCAGCAATAGATCTTAGGTTACTTGTAAACAGCTGTGGGATGTAATTTGTGCCTGGAAACATGAACTTCTTTGAAACAGATAGGTGTTTTCTTACTGTTTCCTTACCTATCTCAAGTTTCAGTTCTCTTTCTATGTGTTTCACCTTTACCTATGTTAAGTCCATTTTCTTTACTGAAGAGGGAAAGAAAAGAAAAATTGAGTCAAGTTTCTCTTTAATGTTTATATTATTCTCTTAGGTAAATTACAAACTTTATGTTTATACAAATTTATGAAGGTTTATTTCTGTCTGCCTTCTGTTTTAATGCTTCACTCTCATTAAACCAACCTTCCCACTTTTCTGTCTTGAAGTTACCAGGTAAAACTCTATTTCTCAATGATTTCTCTATAGCATTTTATAATTTGCACCACATATTTTAACAGTGGAAGAAATATTATCTTCCTTGTTTGATGCTTTTAAATTATTTTTTAAAAAACTCTAAGCACGATTGTTGATTTCTTTACCTTTTTTTCATTTGGTTCACCTAGAAGGTTGAGAGTTTTTACCAAGTAGGAATACTAGACAATAAATACTTTTTGGTTGGTTAAATCTTAAATATCAAATTTGGCTATACATTCTTCAAATATCAGTCTTCTTTCACTACTTTTTCTGTTTGGAGAAACAAAAAGAGTAAAATACTTAAAATTCTTTTTGTTGTAATAAAAATGATACTACTAATAATAATAGTAGTAATAATAAAAATCAAACAAACTAAAACTACCTTTAGAAGTCATTCTCTTCTCCAACCCCTTCCCATAACCCTCTAACAATTATCAACTAATCATTTTACTGAGATATTTAATAACTATTTCAGCCACATTTGATATGCTAGTTTGGAATTCTATTTATCGGTAAAGCTACTTGATTCCCTGTCTACTTTGTCAGCCAAGGTGGCATTTCTTTTTTTTTTTAATTTTATTATCCTAAGCCCCACACCCCAGCTGCATTTCTTTATGTGTTTTAACTCATTCTAGACAAATGTGCCAATTTGCAATGCTTTGAAATCATATCTAAACTCTAAATAGATAAATCACATCATTTCTCTTGAAATCTTTTTTTTAGCCTTGCAGAAACGTTAAATATTTAAAGACAAATACTAGTGTTTAATAATCATAGATTTTTAAAAAGTCATGTAATTTTCAATGTATTATAATCATGTAAATTAATGAACTAACTTGATATTTTAAAAGGTGCTGCAACAATTTAACAATTTTGCTCTTAATTTTGGCAAAAATAGCATAGGGTATACATTAAATAAGGCTTTGATGTCTAGCAAATTAAAAACTAACACAAACAGAATTCATTGTTCACCAGCAGGAGAAGGGTACGTTGCAGGTTCGTATTTAGGGTAGCAAGCCTTATTCTCTTACTCTACATTAAATACTGTCAAAATTCTGGTTCACTGTTAATTTTGTACAGCTAGGCAACTTGTTAAATCTCAATCTACAACTCCCATGATTTATGTATTCCCATCTGATTTATTTGTCTAATAATGAGATGTGGGGTTTGGGGTTTCCACCATGACAACCCATCAGTATGGCTTGTTTCTCCTTCCTAGATACAGAAACTCAGAAAGGAATATCTTCCCTGAACTGCTTACTTAGTTCTGGGACCTGGTAACTATAGAAACTTAGACTGAGATTACATGGCTAAATTGTTTACAAGACACAAATAGTCTGATAAATAGCCTGTTCAAACAGGCAGTAAAATATGTCATGGTCCACACATCAATCTGCAGCAATCCTTTTATTAATAGGTCTTATTTAGTATTCCCTTTGCTAAATTATTCTCACAACTACATTACCATCTGCATTAGTCTGTTCTCACACAGCCATGAGGACATACTCATGACTAGGTGATTTATAAAGAAAACAGTTTAATTGACTCACAGTTTCACATGGCTAGGGAAGCCTCAGAAAACTTACAATCATGGCAGAAAGCACCTCTTCACAGGGCGGCAGAAGAGAGAATGAGTGCCGAGTGAAGAGGGGAGCCCCTTATAAAACCATTCAATCTTGTGAGAACTCACTATCATGAGAACAGCATGGGGAAAACTGTCCCCACGATTCAACTGTCTCCCACTGGTCTCAACTTTGACATATGGGGATTATTACAATTCAAGATGAGATTTGGTTGGTGACACAGAGCCAAACAATATCATCATTATAATTTTCTCATTCATCCTACAAGAGGAATTTGATATCTTCCCTTTTTATAAGTTGGTAGATTTCATTGAGTGAGTGGTGACATTTAGTGGGGGAAATGAAAATATGTGCATATTCTTGCTTATTACATGTGTTTTCTCATTGGTGGCATTAACAATATTTACTGTATACTATGATGCATAGGACTTGGAAGTTTAAATTGGTGTAAGAAAAAGCTTTTGGCTGGGTGAAGTGGCTCACGCCTGTAATCCCAGTACTTTTGGAGGCCAAGGACGGAGAATCACTTGAGCTTAGGAGCTTGAGACCAGCCTGGGCAACATAGCAAAACCCTGTCTCTACAAGAAGATGCAAAAACTAGTCTGCGTGGTGGCATGCACTTGTAGTCCCAGCTACTTAGGAGGCTGAGGTAGAAGGATCACTTGGGCCTGGGAGGTAGAGGATGCAGTGAGCTGTGATCACACCAGCCTGGGTGACAGAGCAAAACTTTGTCTCAAAGAAAGAAAAAAAGAAAAAGACAAGAAAAAGCTCTTATCCTCAGCCTATTTACAATTTAATTGAAGAGATGGTACATAAATAAAATGATGTGAACAAGATGGTAGTATGTGTGCAGTTGGGAGGAGAGTGATATCATTTTGTCTCGGGTGATGAGATTTTTAGAGAATTGGGTTTTGGTCATGTCATTTTGAAGCAAGAGTTTTAAAAGCATAAGCAGACAGAATGAATGACACAGAACATTACAAGGATAAGTAATGCAAGAAACAAATGCCTAGAATAGTAGTAGAATTGAGTAGGCTTCTGAAGTTATGGCAGTTTAAGGCTACTAGTGAGAAGTGTTGGGGTAAAAGTGTGGTTCAGTAACATTTTAATCATGTTTACCTTTGACTTTAATTTAAAGACCAGTTTCACCATGTTGGTCAGGCTGGTCTTGAACTCCTGAACTCAGGTGATCTGGCCACCTTGGCCTCCAAAGTGCTTGGATTACAGGCGTGAGCCGCCACGCCCGGCCTGACCTATATTTCTTTACTTCGCCCCAAATCCTAGGTCATTGAGAATTTATAACTAAAACGTTCTAGATGTTTCAAAAAGAGAATATATCATGAACAGTTTTTGTTACATGCTTTCGTTACATGCTTTCTTTAGTTTTTTGGTGTAGTTTCTTGAACATTCTTACCTCCGTTTCTCCCACCCTCACTGCTAGATCTTTTAAACCAGGGGTCCCCAAACCCCAGGCCATGGACTGCTACTGGGGTCTATGGCCTGATAGGAACCAGGCAGCACAGCAGGAGGTGAGCAGAGGGCAAGTGAGTGAAACTTTATCTGTATTTAAAACTGCTCCCCATGGCTGGTATTATGGCCTGAGCTCCATCTCCTGTCAGATCAGCAATGGCATTAGATTGTCATAGGTGCAAGAACCCTATTGTGAACTGCACATGTGAGGGATCTAGGTTGTACACTTCTTATGAAAATCTAATGCCTGATCATCTGTCACTGTCTCCCATCACCCCCAGATGGGACTGTCTAGTTGCAAGAAAACAAGCTCAGAGCTCCCACTGAATTTACATTATGGTGAGTTGTATAATTATTTCATTACATATTACAATGTACTAATAATAAAGTGCACAGTAAATATAATGTGCTTGAATCATCGTAAAACCACCCTCCCTCCCCTGGAAAAATTGTTTTTCATGAAACTGGTCCCTCCCTGGTGACAAAAAGGTTGGGACCACTGTTTTAATCATCAAGGATTCTGACGAACCTCTTTGAATTTTCTATTTAATTCATATTCCATAAGATAAGTAAAACCTAATTACGCCTTGATTCTTTTTCCCCCTAAGCATTTAGAAAGCAGAGTGTATGTCGGGGAGATCTCGTTTAAATTCGAGAAGCAGAAAAAACAAAGACAAGTAAAAAAACAAAAACAAAACGTGATGTACACAGGATTGACAGAAAAAAAAAAAAAAAAAAAAAGTCTGTGTGCAAAGGAGTGTGACCATGCAGAAATCTGGAGAGGAAAATATGTAATGTTAGTGTTAATACCTTTGGCCCTATTTAGGTCACTTTGAATAATGAAACTCGAAACACCAGATTATATTTTTAGCACAGTAGGTGCAGTATCCAGTCTCTCACAGATGAGATGTCCTGTGTCTCAGGCCGTTTGGAAAATTCAGGATCTGCCGCGTTCCCAGACTTAGATGAGGACACTCCGCGAACTACAAGCACCCTCAAGTGGGAGGACGTCCCAGGTCGGGGTGTGAGGGCGAATGAGAGGGCTGGGGAGGAGAGGCAGGAGTTACGGAAAAGGGACCACAGTACCCCAGCCGCTGCGGCGGGAGGGAGAGGGGCTGCGGAGGACTCACAACGCGTTCAGAGAGGCCCATCCAAACGCCAGGAGACAGATGGCAAGGGTGCTTAACAGGGGACGTGACTGGGCGAGGCAGCTGAAGAGAGGCCGTGAGCCAAGGTCACCCGCTAGGCGGCGGCAGGTTTACCACTGAGACCCGCGCCCGTGGATTTTGCCCGTACCTCAAGAAAGTGCATGGCGAGATCCCCGCAAATCCCAGGCGCGGAAGGCTCTGGGGAAGCGCTTCGAGGCCCGGCTCTAGCGGCTCAGGGACGCCGGACAGCCGCGCGCCACCGCTCGCCCCGCCCTCGGGCGCGCTCCTCTGCCCGGCGCGCTGCTTGCCTGCGTGCGTCGGGAGCGCGCCCGTGCGCGGAGCCGCGTTTTCCAGAAGCTCGGTCCTCAGGGGCGCTTGAAAGGAGGCGAGCGCGACTTCGGTGCCGCGAGCTTCCCTCGCTGGCCGGCGCGCTGTAGGCTCTGCTTCAACCAGGGGCGCGCGGCTGCGCGCGGCCGCGTCCTCACACGGATCCCAGCCCTGTCACCCGCACTGGGTCCCCAGACTGAGCGCGTCCGGGCCTGACCGCGCTGCGGTTCCGGCCCTGAGGTGAGGAGGGCGTCGCGGGCGGCGGCGCTTGAGGCCACCCTGGGGCAGCCGTCCCTGAGGGAGTGAGGGGTCGAGGAGGGGCTGGCGAGAGAGGGGCGGCGGGGAGGGAAGGGGAGTCCGGCGTCTGAGGTCGTGGGGTGAAGCGGGCTCGGCAGCGGGCCGAGGCGGCGAGCTGAGGAAAACAGACATCCCTCAGCTCCCGGGAAGCGCGGGTTGCCAGCCTCGAGGATGCGGTGGGAGCGCCGCTCAGGATGCGGGCGTGAGAGGGTCGGGGTCCTGGGGCCGGGGCGCTGCGAGGCTCCCCTGGGACCAGGTCCGGCCGTGGGACATCGCGACACTGCCTTTGGCTGGACGCTGTCGTTCCACTCTTAGCAGCGTTAGGGAGAGAAGAAAAATATTGATGTACATTTCCGTCCGAACAGCTGGATAATGAGCCCTTGCTCTTTCTTCCCCGAGGGGTTACGCGCGGATCTTTACCTTGTGTGTTAAAAAAGGGCTGAGAAGAAAATGTGCAGATCTCACGACACAGTTTGGGAGGGAAATTCCCTGATCCTAAAACGCAAATAGGAGCTCCAGGCACGGAAATATTTAAGTGGATCGGAAAGCTGGGAAGGCTCCAGTCGGTAATAGCTGAAGGAGGCTTTCTCCTGGGCTCCTTAGGCTTCGACTTAACATTTTGGAAAGATGTCCGAAGATAATGAAGATAATAACCACGTTTACCTTCTCCGAGGGCGTTCTGAAGGAAACTAAGACGGGGAAAAGTATTTGCTAGACTACAGCTTTGAGCCAGGCTCGGTGGTAGCTCTTTTAATTCTTGACAGCGACCCTGTAGGGTTGGAGGGGTTATTCCAGTTGGGCAGATGTGGAGAATGGGCCTCAAAGAGGTTAAGTAACTTGTTAAGGTCTCAACTAGTAAAAGGGTAGAGTTGGGATTCCAACCCAGTGATGCCAGATGCTAATTCTGGTGCTTTATCCACTGTATTTTGTGGTTGTCCGAAGAGCAATATTGTATGTGCTTTAGGGAAGACTCCATAGGAGGGAACATTATTAGGGTAGGTAGGGCTTTGGGTGTATTTGTGTTAAAATCAAACTAAAGAGGTGTTAATCTTTGAACATATGCTGTTTAAGTGTATTTCCTTTCAAACAGATTTAGTGTAGGGAAATCTTAACATTCATTATAAGCAAATTTATTAGTACATTACATGTTTATCGCATGTCTTTTATGTTTGAAGAGACAGGGTCTTGGGATGTAGTGTGGTGGTGCGATCACAGCTTACTGCAGCTTTTAACGTCTCGGCTCAAGGAAGCCTCCTGAGTATCTGGGGCTGCAGGCATGTGCCACTGTGCCCAGCTAATTTTTTATTTGTTTTTTAGAGACGAGGTCTTGCTATATTGTCCAGGCTGGTTTGTTGCATGTCTTTTACATTCCAGATACTATACCGCATGACAAAAGTACCGATATGAATACAATTTATAATCTCTGTCCTTGAGTTTAGTTGAGAAGCTGATTGTTTAAAAGAATTTTATGATATTGTACTAAGTCGTTCTTTTCTAGTATGTGAATTAGTTGGATTAAAAATAGTTCTAAGGACAAGCTTTATGAACCTATTATGTATAAGAAAATTTATTGGATGATTTGTCATCTGTGTACCACTGCATTGTTATTTTCTCCTTCAGCAGGAAACACTGTCATAAAATTTAGGTTAAATTATATTGACAACTAGGATTTTTCTCTTTCTTTGATTCTTTTTTTTTTTTTTTTTTTAAAGACAGGGTCTCATTCTGTCACCCAGGCTGATGTACAGTAGCAGGATCTTGGCTCACTGCAGCCTGGACCTCCCAGGCTCAAATGATCCTCTCACCTCAGCCTCCCAAGTAGCTGGGACCAGTAGTTGCATGCCCCTACACCTGGCTAATTTGCTTTTGTTGTTGTTATTGGTGGTGGTGGTGGTGGTAGAGACAGTGTCTCACCATGTTGCCCAGGTTGACCTCAAACTCTTGGGCTCAAGCCACCCTCCTGCTGTGATTGCAGACGTGAGCCACTGCACCTGACTGCATTTTGTTTTATTATTGCATCACTTTCAGTAAAATTTAAAGCAATAGAGAAGAAGAGAGCATTTATAATTTATCTCTTTTTAGGTTAAAAGGCATATTTTATAGTGTTTTATTTTATTGATTGAGAAGCAAATGATGTAGCTAAGCAGGACTTTATTTCATGTGCCTGAGATGTTCCTAGTCTCTCATTCCAAAAAATCTTTGTTGAAAAGTATAGCTAATACTAGATTGTATTTAAGTTTTTGTGGTTCAAAGTTGTAGTGAAATCAGTCTTCTGTTTAGGCTGAAATGGCACATCGTTGAAATGTATAACACTACTTCATGGTGGATTTTGGAAATTTCTTTTAATTGCTTCAGTTTTCTCAGTAAAGTAGGATTCAAGGTCATAATCTGAGGGTGATCCTACAGATGGAAACTTTGGAGATTTGTGGATTGGGAGAGTGATGGACTAGTGAAATATGTGATTACTAGGAAATTAAACAACTCGTAGATGTGAAAAGTACAATGGAGGAAAGATATGAGTGCACAAATTAAGGTGTCTAATTTTGCATACCAGAAACTTCATAATGCATTCCCAATGCCTGCCTTTACCATGTTATCTAGAACATACATCAGCACCCCATGCTCCAGTTCACTTTGCTTTATGCCTCTGCCATATCGCAGGTTTCCCTGTTCTTTACAAAAGTCAGGAGGCCCTTTTGTTTGGGAGTTTAGCTTTCTTTTCTTTCTGCCTGGAAATTCTGTTCTACTCCTTTCCAAGCTCTTTCCCTCTTATCACATTATATTAAATTTTATCTCTCTGCAAAGTTAGTGATAGTGTCTAACTTTTTTTGCCTCATAATGTTGGATGTGTAAATCTTTCAGTAAATGTTAAGTGAATATGCCACTTTTCTCACTTTCCCTCTTCTTCATTTTTAAACCTATAACAGGATTTGGCAAACTTTTTTTGTAAAGTGCCAGATAGTAAATATTTTGGGTTTTGCACATGGTATGGTCTCAATAACTTTACTGTTGTAGCACAAAAGCAGTCATAGATAATACATAAATGAATGAGCATGGCTGTATTCCAATAACACTGTATTTATAGACACTGAAATTTGAATTTCTTATAATTCTTGCACATCACAAGATATTATTCTTTCTTTTTTTCAACCATTTATAAATGTAGACACAGTGTTAGCTCATGGGCTGTGCCCAACATTCTGAGGGTTGGATTTAGACCCCTACCTCTTTCATCATAGTTTGTACTCCTTGATCTTTAACGACTCTCAGGAAGCCTTGATAGAGGAATCTGTGGTAAGATGATATTGGTTATAATATTTCCATTGGTGGTAGAGAAGCAAAGATATATAAGGCAGTGTTTTTTTCATCAAGGATCTCATGGTCAAGTTCAAGATGAAAACAAATTAATAAATTAATGGTGACAGGGTATAGTTACTGCAGTTACAGTTATATTTACTGGATATAGAGGTAGAACAAAGGAGTGATAATCAGCTCCATGTCAATGTTAATAATGACATTTAGGCAATATGATTAAACATTGAGTTTATTTGAGCATAAAATTTGAGGATGGTCACATAGGAGGACACAGACTCCTAAAGGGTGGGGTAAATGCAACAAAATAGAGAGATTGGAGAGTCCTTTACATAGGCAAGGTCTGGGGATGGTTAGGTCTGGGTTACATCATTTTTCATACAAGGTTAGTACATAGTTAGAGCAATTCAATTAGTTATAGGCAGTGTTTCCTTTTTGGGGAAGGATATATTTAACATTTCACATTAAGGATGTAATGGTCAAAGGGTTTTTTATCATGGTCAAGGGGACTTTTATCCCTGGCACCATCTGGTCTGAGCTAGGAACAAGAAAATAAGGAAGGAATTTCATATATAACAAAAGGTCAGTAATTAAGAGGTCAAGCCAGTTTCCAAAGTCACCCTTCCTCAGGGCTAAACAACGTTTAGAAGCCCCAAGTAGACAGACTATCCATTTTCTGTTACATTTGCTTAGGTGGATAAGAAGTAACCTCTAACAGTCATTTGTTAGAGGTAAGGAATATATTTTCAGCTAGCCTTTCTGGAAATCCTTCAAGGATGCTAAGAAGGTGACTGACCACGTTTCTTATCAGGATGGCTCTAAACATTGGGATGACTCAACTTATGTATTTTATAGGATATAATCTTAATTCTTTCTCACAGAAATAAACATGGATATATTTTTTAATTAGGCCTATATATGTAAAAATAATTTAAAAATTGTAAGGTTATTTTACCTGCTACATAATAAATGGATTGTTTATTCCACAGATATTTAGTTCCTCCTCTGCTGTGCAATGAGTTGTTTTACTAACAAAAAATATTTGAAAGAGATAATGGTATCATTAGATAAGTGATGGAGTTTCTTTAGGGGGGCAGGGGAAAGGGAGAGTCTCTTATAAACAAAGCACTGCTTTTAGCAAAGGCAATAAGTGTAACGGTAGAACTACCTTAGATTTAAAAAAATGCTTTATAACTTTCAAATTTCTTATTTTAATTAAAACAAACTCATGCATCCTAAATAATTTTTCTCTAACAATTATTTCTAAAGGTTATGTACATTTTTATTACTTTTAGTGATGTGAAATATGTTCCATAGGACTTGGAAT